GTCGGCCGGACAAAGGGACGGCCGGACAATCGGGACTTTCCAACTCCCCGACTTTTTGGATCGATCGGTGATGTTGTCGGAATCCTAATCGGGCGACGAAACTCCTTCACACACGCAAAATCTCTGTCTCTTCACCCCATTTGCAGGCGTCCAACCCCATCCGCCTTGTTCCACTCTGCCACTCTATGTACTTCTCTTACGCCAAACTTGCGAGAGGGAGCAGAGCCCCTTGGCGTTTGAAGTATGGGTTCACAATTTTCAGGGAATGACGCCTTGAAGAATGGTAGTTCAAAATCTCCTCCGAAAACTTTCGCTGTATGACCTTCCATTCCCTCACCACTATGACTCTCTGACTCGCATCTAACAGTTTGAATAGCGGTCATCTTTTCTGACAGAAAACAGTAACTTCACCTCGATGTCGACCCTCCAGCGAACAAAAGCGAATCTTTCCTAGAGTATACTTTGAAATGAAACGGATGGATGACATCGAGCACCCTCAAAAATTTCCTGCCATCGACATCCACCCCACCCCATCAACAGCCGTCCAACCCATCCCTATCACACTCGCCACCCCCTCCGTACTCTCCTCGATATATTTCTTTATCTCCGACGCAAAACACGCAAGAAGAAGGCGAAGTACCATCGAACTACCCTTCACCCCCATCCCCACGCCCATTCGCTTCTCAACCACCAGCTCTTCCTCCATCACTATCTCCACAGCGATGGCTCAAATACACCCACCAACCTCGGCCCTATCGCGCCTCTCGCACATCCCGGAATTCTCATGCAGACGCCCGTGCCCTGGCATGCCCGCGGCCTGCGTTTCTCAGACAGACGGCCAGACCCCTCTGTTAGCGTCTTTTCATGGGATTGGAACGTCGACGAAGGATGGCTTTCCGGTTGGAAATGACCTGGATGGGAATGGAGAGTCACTGTCGTCTAACCGATGATATTACCCCCGCAAATAGATCTCTTCGAGCTGGGGTGGATTCACAATGCTAACGGACTGGAGAAGCTCTGATTCGAGCACTGCAAGACGACATTCGACTTCTTACCCTCCTCAACTCCGAGATCGATGCCGAAGTCGAATTGCAGCTCCTCGACGATCGTACGGACTCGCGAGGAACGTGAACGAAGACGGTGTCGGCGAGAGCTGAGTTCTTTTTTAGTGATGGGACACTGGGTCCTGTCAGGAGTAGTAAGAAGGCGAGCTCAAAGCTTCCGTGGACGTCTTTGTCCCCACGAATGGGTATCAATCCCTCAAGCTCAGCAGATCGTACCAGTAAAGTCTCTCCTACCACAATCGACGCCAACCCATCTCCCCATCTCCTCCCACTCACGCTGTCTCATCCGCGATGCCCTACGCGTGCAGTCTGACAGTAGTTCTTGGAAATTGATCACCGTATCGTCGACTCGTTCCATCGTCTCCGGGTAGGTCATACCAGCACCTTGTCAGTTGTTTTGCTGGGACGCACGCTCACGAGAACGTCAACCTGTAGCTCTACATACTCTCTTGTCCAAGATTCGCCGTCTGTATGCTCTCTCGATACCCAAGGAAGCTTCTCCCGCCTATAGTCGCGGAAAAGGTGTGCACTCTCCGCACCCTACTTTTAACTGCCTTTCATGACCCAATTGACGGTGTAGCAGCTCATTACGTGCACCTTGCCGAAGCTTTTCACAAATTCGCGCGACTCTTTCACCCGATTCCATCGCAACGATGGCCCATTTCGGTGGAGTTGGTTTCTGCGCCCGGTTAAAGATCCCGATTGAACTGAGGTTTCGACAATGAGCTGTGCTGGGATGCTGAGCTTCATCGAAGTATTTGAAGTTCGTAGGCGAAGATGATGACGATGCTTGAAGGAGCGCTCACTTGTATGTTGCTATTCAACATCCATTGACGTGAGGTCGAGGGTTCTTGGCACAATTCCTGATCTTTTCAAGTAAGTCTATCTTTATTTCTATAAGTTATAACGGCGGTAACTAAAGCAGCTGGCTCTAGCAGGATGAGAAACATAGGTATCGATCTTATCAAAGTCCCGATACCTTTTCTTCTGCAATCCCTTTATGTCTTGAACCAACATTCTGTTACCACAACACCAAGAGTAAGGTCGAGACTCGCAACCGAATCCCTTCCACCTAACTTTATTAATGTCAATAACGGATGACGGCAACCCAGCTTTTTACAACGCCCTCACCTAAACCTTCTCTGCAGTGGCGCCGTTCCCTTATCTCCCCTAAGCTAGGCCCTCACGCTATACTACCATCCGCCGGACTAGTTGGGTAGGCCTTTCACGGACCACGGACATGCAGCTTCGAGGTCTCACAGTCGACGCAGATGTTATGGGGCGGCCGGTCGGAGTTGGAGGAACTCAACAAGGAGATTTCTGGGGCACAAGTGGTCAGGGATCTTGTGGAATCTCTCAGTCGCATAGACCTACGTGCGCACAGGCAAAGGTCGTAGTATTTTCAATCATAGAACCAACCCTCAACATTTTAGCTCTGTCTACTTCCTTGAGAATGGGGTAAGTGAAAGCGGAATGGCGCCCATTGTGAAACCATGATTAAGCGCCCACCACGTAGACAAACACCAACGCCATCTTCCAAACTCACAAAAACTAGCAAAACAGTCGAAGAACTTTCTCTCAAAGCCCGTCAACAACCCGATTGAACTACTGCAGTAGAAAAACTCCCGTCAAAACCCGCCGAAAATGAGGAATAACAGTTACAACACCCTCTGGATTCGAAGAATAGTGCGAGGCGCCTGTCCAGAAACTCTGCGAGATTCGGCGGTAGCTGAAGAAAGGGCGGAGTGTCATTGCGTCTTGGTTCCGTTTGGGAGCTGGTGAGTACTTGGGTTTCGTGCATATCAATGACGCGTACTGATTCTGTAGTTGTCCAGCTTTTGGCTATACACGCCGTAGTCATGAGGCCAATTTCTACACGTATGTCCCCTTCCCATCTCAGTCCCTCGTCCATCTCTGACTCCAGCCCCACTAGAAGCCATGACCCGCCCATCCTTCGCCGTAATTGTCGAGGGCTCGATCACTAGTAACTACTAGGACAACTTTCCGACGCGCAACAACTTCAGTGTTCGGACGGCAACTCAAACGCGCCGTTAGGCTGAGGAACCCACTGGTAATGCGTACCCATGAGGCGGAGGACGATACGTAGCGTACTTTGAGGGGAGGAGATGCCGAAACAGTCCAACTTAAGGTTCGTTCCATTCCCTTTGCTATCCTTTTCCCGGTTCTTACAAACCCATACCACTACCGCAGATTCATTTACACTTACTCTCCGATACGCTAGAGTTTTCAGCGTGTCTCGTGGCCCACTTCCCCAACCGTTACATCTTCCCAGCATTTACATCTATGTGTTGTGTCTCTGGGGTGTTATTAGGTACGCAAAGCTCGTTCTGTACGTTTCTTGGTCCTCATCTGGCTACGCCCCACTTGGTTTAGGGTGCAAATGTCGAAACCCGTCAACGTCTAATCCCGTAGGAGAGGACCGTAAATTGAAGACACTATCCCGATTTACTGTCCAGAAAAGGTGTGAATTCTTCTATATCTTTTGACTCGCCCATATGGCTCATTCTATTCTCCCCTTTTCATGGTATCCAGGCGAAATCTTCGCCGATTATTCTTTGAAGGATGGGAGGATTGCGGACGTTATCGAGCGGCTGCCCGCCAGTGTCAATGATGAAGAACACGAAAACGAGCATTGGAATCACCGCCATTCTTCCTCCCTCTTTCCCTTCGAAGACAGGACAGCTCAACACTATCACCAACACCATCATCCACCAAATATCCACAAATGACTCTCGCAGCACCACTTCAAACTCTCTTCGAAACAAATACGCCCTGAATGACTCCTGGCAACCATACAACACCCTCCCCGTCCTTTGAAGAGGAGGAAGCTGCCGTTAGTATGCTATACGGCGCTAATACCTTGGACGGCGGAGGAGAGGGATAATGCGTGGAGTGTTTGTGGGGTATGGAGGTGTTGGCTTAGGTGTTTGTAAGGAAGGATCAAGCTGCTCATCGTCACCAAACGCACCTACCTTAGCGTCCCACTTTCGCGTTCTCTTCCGTCTGGAGAGTTGTGCTACGAACCGGAAATGGCGAGGGCGAATTGGATGTAGAGCGGCCCCAGACTCGCGAGCTCCCCTAGTCTGATCCTTTCCCCCCCCAACATTCACCGCCAACCCATCTAGCCTGAAACATCTCCCCATTCCCCAACGTCACCTCATCAACCATACTCAAAATCACTCCATCCTTGCTCACCCTCTGCATCGTCAAGCGTTAGCGTTGACAACGGCGATGCTTTCAAGGGAGCTCACTGGCGAACAGAGGGTCGTGGCCGTTTGCAAGTTATTGAGGTGCGGTTGAAGGGCTCTTGATTCATCGGTTCGCATTTATTGTGGAGTCTTTTCAAGTAAGGTTATTTTCATTCCTATAATGGTGGTCGCTAACGAGTCTACTCACAGTTGGCTCTTATAGGTTGCTTATAGGAAGTTCTGTCGCAACCCCTCTATGTCTTGAACCCACTAGGAGACTACGAGTCCTCATCCGACGCTATCACAACTTAAGCCCAAGTCGATGCTTGCGAACGGAAGCCCTTCCACTTACTTCCCTTATGTCAACGACGGACGACAACAACATAGCCTCTTCGACGCCCTCACATAAGACCCCCTTTTCCGTGCCGCCGCTTCTCTTTGTTGCGTTTTACCGCCCCAACGAGAGACAGAAGTTGGCGCCTCACTACCCTAAACAGGGTAGGCCAACATGAAACAAACGTTGTTCGGACGTCAACTAAAACACGCCGCTAGGCCAGAAACTGTTTGTGATACATACAGGACGATATTGAGCCGATATTGAAGGTGTTGGAAGGATTTCAAGGTTTGTTTTGTTGCCTCTTTTGTTGATATCGCCTTCTTATGGCCGTCACTACTGCAGATCCATATGCGCCGCTTCTTCAATACGCCTGATTTTCTAAACTACCTTTCACGACCCAACTAATCGTCTAGCAGCTCGCCTCGTACACCTTGCAAAAGCTTTCAACGAATCAAAGGGACTCCTTTGCCAGATTAGGTCGCAATGATGGCCCATTTTGGTGAAGCTGGCTTCTGTGCACTTCTCAGTTAGACTACGCTGGAGTGTCGGGCCTCGACACTCCAACACTGAAGACACTTGTTTGGTTGTGTTTGGCAGGAGCCTCGGAGTAGATACACCGTCATCGATCCATCCACCCTTTTCGGTGTTTTCGCGTGCAAGGCATTCCCCTTGCGTCACTCGGCCCCTCTCCAACGCCTGTCGTGGTTGGAGGTTCTGATGGCGCTGATATCTTGTTTGGTGAACCATGTTAGGAGGCTGAGCTTCGTCGAAGTCTTGGATGTTCGTTGGCGAAGATAATGTCGATGGCTCGAAAGAGTGCGCAGGCGAAGAGAGGGTTGTGGTTGTTTGAAATTCATTAACGTGAGGTCAAAGGGCCCTGCCAGCCTTTGCTCAATTCTTGATCTTTCAGTAAGTCTATCCTCATTCGGCCTCGATAAAAACGGTAGCTAACGAGTCAGCTGGCTCTCATAGGATGAGATACATAGATAGATATCCACCTTGTCAAAGACCCAGCACCTTCTACCGCAATTCCTCTACGTCTTGAAGCCACTCTCCTTCGGAGGATCAATCCGACGCTACCGCATTATCAAGTGCAATGTCGAGACTCGCAAACGAACCCCTTCCACTTAACTTCCCTTATGTCAACGATGGATGATAGCAACATAGACTCTGTACCGCCCTCCTCCGCATCTAACCCGCTCCCTTAATCTCCCACTGCTGACCCGTTTCATGGCCACTAAGTACTCAGGGACACGAGCCATGGCCAGCCACTCTCGCTATGCGCTACCCTCCGCCGGACTAGTTGGGTAGACCTCTCGAGGACCACGGACGCCTAGCCGATGCAGGCGTTATTGAGTGGCCGGTCGCAGTTGGAGGCATTTGACAAAGACGTTGTAGTATTTTCAATCAATCATTCACATTGTATCTCTGTAGTTTACTGGGACTTTGTACTAACTAATATACACAGCTTCCCAACTTTGTCTGGGTTTTTTTGAGTGGTTTGTCGCTTCGATTGCGATTGAAAGAAAGCATTGGACTGGACGCGTTCCAAGGAATGATCATTGCGCTGGAGAGAGTTCCAAGTTGATGTGGGGGGAGGGGGGAGAGGGGACCATGGATTATCGTATTGGTTTCGTTGATCCTCAAGCATGTCGGGTCGGTGTCGGGGTATAGAGCAGCAGCAGCATAAGTAATAGAGAATCACCATCACGAAAAAAAAGAGGCAAGGGAGTGGGGGGAAGATTGAAAGCAGCAAAGCCAGAAGGAACCCCACGAAGAAAAAAAGAACAAAAAAAAAGGCAAGGCATATCCACCGGGATGCGAAAAGAAAAAGAAAAAACCAGCTTCACATCCCCAACAACGAATCATCACTCTGCACCTCAGCCTTCAACCCCCTAACCCCCCTCGTCCGCCCCCTCTCCTCCACCAACCTCTCCCCCTCCCCCTCCTTCTCACCCTCCGTCGAATCAGGGCTCAAACTCCCCTTCATCCCCATCCCCATCCCCATGTCATCCTCAAGCCCCATCATAAGATCATCCCCATCGTCCCCGCCCTCCTCTGGCATACTCGGCAGTCTCCCCATATGCCCATGCCCATGGAAGTGGTGCAGCTCGTCGTGAAGGATCATGCTGCTGCCGTCCCCCGCTGTTCCCGCGGTACCCGCTGAGTCGGAAAGAGGTGGTTCCATGCTGGATGAGCTGCGTGATCGTCGGCGGTAGGCTTTGAGCTCTTGTTCGAGCTCGCGGTTCCGTGCGCCTTGTGCTGTTACGAGTTGTTGTAGGTATCTAGATAGTAACAGAAGGAGTGTTAATATTGGTTTCATTGGGAAAGAAAACAAATAAACCCACCTAATATACTCAACACTCTTCCTCAAAATCATACCCTTATTCGCCTTGACAACACCCCCATCCCCTCCCTGCTGCCCTCCCCCTCCTCCAGCTTCCTCGCCCAACGAATCTTTCCTGGTCGGCGTCCCGTTCAAGCCATTCGCAGTGGGATTAGGATTGTTAAGCCCATTCAACACGTCGACGGGTGTCAGCAGCGAATCTGGGTCCGGGAGACCGATTGACATGATCCCGCCGCTGCTTGCGCCTGGGGAAGCGGCGGATGGGGAAGAGGCGTTGCCGTTTCCGTTTCCGGTTCCGTTTGGACCTGGGGGAGAGGGGGTTAGTTTGAGTTCGGGTTTGGGGATGGAGGAGTAACAAGGAACGTAATCGGGGATGCAACGCAAGAGAAAAAGAAAGGCGATCCAATCCAAGGAAACGTGCAACCCGCAAAAAAGCAAATAATCGCAACAACCACCAACCAACAAGAGGGGGGAACAGACGGGGATCCAACGCAATAGAAAAGGAAAGGCGAGGAACCAAAACCAAAAAAATCGAACTCACCGCCAACATCCAACATACACTCCGGAATCAACGTAGCAAGCTCACTAATCTTCTCATTAATATTATCCCTCCGTCGTCTCTCAACGGCATTATGGCTCTCGCGCCGCCTCCTTCGTCTATTCTCGTTGGCTAGTAGGGCTTGTTTATCGCCTACTGCTTGTTGTTGTCCTAGTCCTTGGCCCTGTTGTTGTTGTGGTGGTGCGGCCCCCGAGGAAGGAGGGGGGAGCTGGACTTGTTGTGCTTGACCTTGAGTTTGATTTTGAGGGGGGAGAGGATCGTAAGAAGGGAGCGACATCAAATTGACAGCTTGCGTGTCTAACCCCTTCGGCAGCGAGTGCGAATGCGCGTGGTGGGAATGGTGGTGCAAAGGCGGGAGATGGTGAGCATGTCTTGAGATGAGGAAAGTACAAAGGGGGTGTATTCTTGATGATGGTCGGGTGTTGGGAGTGAGTATTCCAAGGCTCTGTTTTCGTCGTTCATCAGCTTCACGAAAACACGAAACACGCCGAGAGAAAGAGGCATACGAGCTAGCTCTCACTCTGCCCAGGCATATACCACCGACTAAGTGCCAGGTATGCTATCATTCCTCCTGGCTCTAGTCGTCCTCGCAGGCCCCATACCGCCTGACCCATTTGCGGCGGATGACGGTGGGAAAGGAGCAGAGCTGGAGGAGGGAGGACGTAATCTGGGGCGGGAGCGGGATGCTGGTGAGCGTGTGTGTCGTGTTAGGTGGGCGTGGGCGGGGTGGAACGATGATGGTGGTAGGTTCGTGGTGGACGAGGGAGGGAGTTGAGGGGAGGAAGGAGAAGGAGGGTCGTAGCGCATCCCACTGTTTATCGCTGGGAGGGTAGAGTCGAATGGGTATTGTTGATAAGCGTCGTGTAGGCTGCTTGATTGACTCCCTGCGCCATTGTTGGCGGTGGTGGTGGAGGATGAGGAAAAGTGTGTTGGGAATGCTGAAGAGGCGGTGGAGGATGCGCTGGACGCTGATACGTCGAATATGTTATGTGTGCGGTATGCCGACGTAGGGTTTTCATACACCGTTGCGTTTTCATACTGCTGCTGGTGCTAGTGGTGGTGAGTGTGATGGGGGTCATTAGGCGTCGATCGATCACCGGGTCCACCCAAGCGCTTAACCGTGAGCAACTCGTCGTTAAACTCCACATTCGCAGCAGCAACCACATTCACGGACGAAGGGAGCTTGCAAAGTACCAACATGCTAGAAAGTCGAGCCAGTCCACAGAATCAGGTGAGCGGAATCTTGAGCCAAGGCACGTGCTTGTGTATCCATAATACATATATACAAATAGACCAACTCGTGGCATGATTGGGGGTCTTTTGGCGTCTGGGCGCTCCTCTTTCTTCCTTTCCCTCTCTCATCCGAAACCTTTCCATCGTCGATATCTCAACATGAGCGGAGCGAACGTTCTTGCGGGCGCTCACCACTTTGTTGCTAACAACAGCACATTCAATAATGCTAACACTGTGAGTAGAATGGTTATCGTGTTAATGCACCAGTGAACGAAGCTGAGAGTACGGATCTCCGGCAGATGCACATCCACAACATCAACAACGGCAATAGGACCACGTCCGACGGGGTCATCCCCCTCACGCCAAACCCAAGCAATCGGTTCACAGGACGGACAGAAGTTATCGCCAAACTCAAGAGGCATTTTTTTACCAACGCAAATGGCAGAGCTAAGAAGAGAAAGTTCTTCCTGTTGCATGGAATGGGGGGTATTGGAAAGACTCAGATTTGTTTAAAGTTTGTTGAGGACATGTCTGACCAGTGAGTATCTATTGAATACCACTTCAATGCCTTCTAATTCAAATTGGATTACTTTCAGCTTTTCTCTTGTTTTTTGGATTGATGCATCCTCAGTCAGCACCATCACACAGGCACTGAAGGGTATCTGTAACCTTCCTGAGGCTCAGCTTTCTGCTCTGGATGGGTCACCTGAATCTGCTCTTCGCTGGATTGGCTTGCTGAAAGAGAACTATGCAATCGTGTTTGACAATGCTGATAATCTATCACCTGGTGAGCTGGAAGCTTATCTTCCACCTGGAAGGGGTGGAAATATTCTGATAACTAGTTGCAATTCTGCCATGAGAACTCTAACTTCACCTGAGAACTCTCTTGAAGTAACTGAGATGGAAGAGAAGGATGCTCTTGAATTATTTCTGAAAGCTAGTTGCTTGAATTCATCTTCAATTGAGTTTCAATCTGAAGCTTCTAAGATTGTGAAAGAGCTCTTCTGTGTTCCTCTTGCAATTGATCAGGCTGGTGCTTACATTGCTTCTGGAGCAACCACTATCAGAGACTACCTTGCAAAATATTCAGAGCACCGGAAGACACTATTATTTCATTCAGATTTTACTGGAGCTTCTAAGTATAACAAAACTGTTTATGAAACTTGGGAGTTATCATACAAAGAAATTCAGAGAAGGGCTAAATCTGATGATTCTCATAAGGCCAAAGCAGCCAATAGTGCAATACTCCTTCTGAAATTATTCCCTTTCTTCCATCATGAGGGGATTACTGAAGACATCTTTTTTTATGCTGCCCTTCAAGAAGACAAGAAAAGTTCTGGCTCAAAGTTACCACTTTCCAGTTCTCTGCTGGACCGGAGACTACTTCCTCTCAATAAATCAGGTACTTGGGTTAACTTTGTCTTTAAAGAGGGAGTCCGAATATTACTGTCATTCTCCTTGATCAAAAAAGGCCCATCTGATGGTGTGTATGCAATGCATCCACTGGTCCATACCTGGGGCAGAGACAGAATGCTTTCAAATAAGAAGAAACAATGTTGTCTAATGGCATATGTTACTTTGTCTTGTTCACTAAGATGGGGTAAAGGCCAGCCATATGGATTTCAGAGGGTCTTGGTAACACATATAAGAGTGAATATGGAGCATGCCACATCAGAAAGTAACAAGAATGGTGTCACTTACTTAGATGATGCTTATGCCAAGTGTGGGAGATTGTTGATGGAACAAGGATATCCAAGAGAAGCAGAAAAGTTACAGATTGAAGTTTTGGATACAAGGAACAGAATTCTTGGAGTGGAACACACAGATACAATCACTGCCATGTCAAATCTAGCAACCATATATCGAAAGCTGGGAAAATACACAGAGGCAGAGAAGCTGGAGATCCAAGTTCTGGATGCAGCCACCAGAATTCTTGGAGTGGAACACCCAAATACAATGACTGCCATGTCAAATCTAGCAGCCACATATCGAAACCTGGGAAAATACACAGAGGCAGAGAAGCTGGAGATCCAAGTTCTGGATGCAGCCACCAGAATTCTTGGAGTGGAACACCCAAATACAATCAATGCCATGTCAAATCTAGCAGCCACATATCAATACCTGGAAAAATACACAGAGGCAGAGAAGCTGCAGATCCAAGTTCTGGATGCAAGCAACAGAATCCTTGGAGTGAAACACCCAGATACAATCAGTGCCATGGCACATCTTGCAGCAACTTATCGATACCTCGAAAAACACACAGAGGCAGAGAAGCTGCAGATCCAAGTTCTGGATGCAAGGAACAGAATCCTTGGAGTGAAACACCCAAATACAATCAATGCCATGGCAAATCTTGCATCCACATATCGACACCTGGGAAAATACACAGAGGCAGAGAAGCTGCAGATCCAAGTTCTGGATGCAAGGAACAGAATCCTTGGAGTGAAACACCCAGATACAATCAGTGCCATGGCACATCTTGCAGCAACTTATCGATACCTGGAAAAATACACAGAGGCAGAGAAGCTGCAGATCCAGGTTCTTGAGTCAAGGAAGAGAATTCTTGGGGTGGAGCACCCAGATACAATCAATGCCATGGCATGTCTAACATCAACATATTATAGACTGAGAAAATACACAGCAGCAGAGAAGCTGCAAATCCAAGTTCTTGCAAGCACCAGAATTCTTGGAGTGGAACACCCAGACACAATCAGTGCCATGGCACATCTAGCATCAACATATTATAAACTGGGAAAATACACAGAGGTAGAGAAGCTGCAGATCCAAGTTCTGGATGCAAACAACAGAATTCTTGGAGTGGAACACCCACATACAATCAAGGCCATGGCACATCTTGCATCCACATATCGACACCTGGGAAAATACACAGAGGCAGAGAAGCTGCAGATCCAAGTTCTGGATGCAAGGAACAGAATTCTTGGAGTGGAACACCCAGATACAATCAAGGCCATGGCACATCTTGCAGCAACATATCAAGGCCTGGGAAAATATATAGAGGCAGAGAAGCTGGATGTCCAACCTCAGGAAATAAGGAATAATGTTCCTGGAGCAGAATCTCCCCATATGAATTCTAGGGAAAAAGGTATGAAATGAGCTTCATTTTTTCTTTTTCACTGACACTCATATTTATATGATTAGTACATTCTCTAACCAATCTTGCCAAGAGGATTTCAAAATTCAAGTCTGGGATGATGCATTCATTTCATAGTAAGAAACATCTCAATGATGGCTTAGCAGGAACTAGTACTTAATTCTTCTTCCCCAATGCTTCCATCCTTTTCACCTATATTCATTTTCACTGAAATTCTGGCTTCTACTCATATCTTGATATTCTGTTTAGTATGTTGAATAAATTTCTCTTTGTCTGACTGTTTTAATCAATGATTGACTGTGTATGAGTTTATCAAAAGTATCTCATGATTCACCATCCCATACTTTATGTCTGTGCTTGCATTCAAGCCCCTCATCAACTCTCCTGTTGAGCTGTCCATTATCCTCCAATGCATCCACTAAGCTACCAATGTGCATCAAGGCCCCTTCAAGTTACCTTAGTTTTGTTGAGCTGCAGATACAAGCTACATAACTGCAACAGCAATGCTAATAGCAGATACAGTTATGTTGAAGTGTGCAATCAAAGTACCTTCATGAGATGTAGGAAATCTGAATTTTAAATTTTGGCAAGAACTTCAGCCACCTCAGGCAAGTTAAAAAAACTTGATCCAGTATGTATATTTTTTCTTTCTTAAAAACCCCTTACTTTTCCTTTACTTGCCATCAATGCAATTATGTCAGAAACATCCTCCAATTTAGTGCGTTAAAGCCTGTGTGTTGTGGAATTCACTATCATCATGCTTGTGCCAATCTTGAGTTCAAGGCCAATAACTGTCATGAATCATTCCACACCCATGCCCTCAAGACATCCCCAAGACAGACCCCTCACTATGATACCTTGTTTCTCCATCCCTACTTTCTATTATCTCATTATCTTGTTATTCCTTGTTCCCATACCAGGGACCTATTAACTGACAAGTCTTTAGCTTCAGTCTTCTCAGTTGAAAATTTGACTTCCTACCATGCTCAGCTTCTTCCATAACAGTGTCTTTGTCATGTGTGATGCTCCCACTGCTGCTCTTGCTGGAAGACTTGCTGACAGAAGAACTAGATGCAGAATGAATGGTGTATGAGGCAGAATTGACATGATCTATCTTTTCATGAGTAATTAAAAATATTGAGAAAAATGACTGCATACCCTTGGGTCCTCCAATAAGATGGCAGTTTGGGATTTTGAGGTTTGAAATATTCTGAGAGAGTGCATCCCAATTCCAACCTGAGTAAATGTCCAAATGGGCTGATTGGGTGTGCACCATGTGAATCCACTGCACAGCTTGTCATCCCATGTTCTGAAAATCAGTGAACCACACTTGAATGTTCTCTCCCAGCATGTGCCCATAGAGTGGGTTCATACGATCAGGGTCTAACACCAATAAAACTGCCAGGTGCTGCATGGCAATGCAATTGAATTGAAATTGAGGAATGTAAGTGCATAGTGCGAT